TTAGTATATACAGTCTTGTAGAGCTCGACGAGCTCTATCGAACTATGTAAAAATATCCAAGAAAAACATTTTACTCCATTTTTGAATTACTAGCACTTTCCTTTTCTACTCCCAAAAATGTATAAAATTTCTGAAAGTTTCTTAAGTTCGATATTAAAAGGTTTACATAACCCTTACTATTTAACATCAATAAACCCCATTTTTCACGGGCTTTCATTTGGTATAAAATTTATCATACCTCCTATTCGGGATTATATCGTTACCCCCCTTGAATAATATTCTTTCCGACCCTGTAGTGTACTATGGAGGGAAGAGCGCTCCGAACATCGGTTAACTAGAACTAAAATTTGCACCAATAAAAGAAGCAGATCTCCCTTCCGAACATCCGTCATTTTCTATTCCAAACTCCTGTGTAAAGTGTTACGAACATCCATAAATTTTGATTACAAACATCCATTAAAATTATCCAGTTTCTCACGCAGAAATGTGTGTATCGTTGCTACTCCGAACATCCGTTAAAAATTTTAAGGAACATCTGTTTTTTTTTGCGATAATCGTTCTGAACACCCGTGTTTTTTCTAATTACGAACATCCGATATTCTTATCATAAAAATGATGATTTTTTGAAGAAAACCAATGTTCAGAACGGACTACGTCATTGGATGTTCGGAATGAAAAGTAGCGACGAAACGTCAAAATTCCACACCTACACGCACATCCACAACTACGCTTACGTCCATACTTTCAGTGAAGAGATGGATCGAATAGCAAATTGAAGTAGCTTGTCACTAGACGAGCCTACAATAATAGCTGTCAAATGCCGACTATTTGATGTGCATTACAATAGTGTAACACATCGGATAGAATTTAAAATGATATTTTTCATAGACACATGTTCGATCGGTTTCGACACAATTTTCAGTATGGGAGCCAACTCTTTCTACCAATCATCAAAGTCTAGTTAACAATGGCTGAGTACGGTTAGAGTCCAATTGTTATTGGAAATATTAAGAAATTGTTTATCGTCGAATAACAAGAGACGTTTGATAAAATATTGATGAGTTTGATAAGAAAGCTTTCAGCATTGTGACAGTAGTTTGGTCATTGTTTAGTTCAAATAAATCTGATAGAATGAAAATAATCATAAATAAATGAGTCGAAAAATAGTATAATCATTTAAGAGAAAGAGATCAATCTGATGTGGAATATTGTCATCGTCTGAAAGTCGAAATGTGACAATCTGATTGATACCTTGTGGACCAACAGTGTTGAAATCATGCTTACACATTGATCAAAGATCTAGCCCTTATGTTGGACAAAGGGTGATGAAAAAAATGTTAAGCCGAGAATTTTCATTGTGAAAGGCATGAAGTACATGAACATTGTTTAAAAAATTGAAGAGATTGAGTAGTACTTAATTGGCTAACAGTTCTAGTATCATATCTTCTATCTCACATGTATAAAATGATGCATTGTTATACATACGACATATAACGAAGTGAATAGAGTTTTCTTTGTCTTTGTCTTTGTCTATTCGAATCAGTCACGATCTAGACAATGAAACATATCTTTCGTCTCATACGCCATTTATCATTATGTTAAGAATGAGAATAACATAAGTATACCCATATCTTGAGGGTGTGGTTGGGGGTGCGCAAGGGTTTGGATTTGCGTCTGGATGTGTGAGTGTCTGCTTCAAGGAATGACTAACATCCACACTCCAATGACTTTATCATCAAACTAGTGTGAATAAACAGTTTTGTTAACGACAACAGTAAGATATATTGACCGTCGGTTAGTAAGGTTATCGCCATCGCACAGTCTGTGAGCGTGAGGTGTGGCTGGGGGTGCAGTGTGTGGGTACGTGTGGGTGAATGTGGGATGTGCGTGTGGATGCGTCTGAGTGTCGGTGTGGGTGTAGTTGTGGATAAACAGAAGATCTACATCTACACACCCCACGCACACCCATTTCTTCATCTAATTGACTTCCAGAATTTTCGATACATATATTCGCAATTTTTTATGATTTGTCAGTAATGAAAAATACAGAAGTTTTTGTGGAACTCACGTATATTTTCGAAGAAAAAAGTAAGTGTAAGTTTTAAGTCGAAGTTTTCTGGCTCTTCACTCCTTCCCCTAACTCCATTACAGACACTTAGCAACACAGGTCCCCATTACAGACGCCCATCATTACAGACTTTAGCAATCAAGAGTAACAGGCATCAGATTTTCTACAGTTTTTTGCAGCGTTGATCAAGTTACGATTTTGAAAAATAATAAATATCATTGTTTGCGAGTTGATTAATATATATAATAATGCGTAAGAACTGCTATGGATATCATAGATATGTAAAACAGACTTTTTTACCAATCGATTAGATGATCATAATAGTAAGGATGTTAAATTAAGAAAAACGAATTTAAAAAAATTAAGAATAATAAGTGAATAGCGACAATGCAAACAAAAATAGGGCGCCCTAGGAAAAATAAAAAGCCTCTGTTCGAAATGCAGAAATTAGAGATCCTTGCCCTGGTGATGGCTTATTCTGCAAAATCACTATAGTCTACGAGAGATTTTTTACTGTGCGTATTTTGTATTAGTCTAATGAGGCTAGCGAGCATATATAAGTTCACATTTGAGCCTCAAAGAGGCTGCGCTAACAAGCTTTTCTATAGCTGAATAACGTACTATTGATTTTTTGATAGCATCGTCTGCTGCTTCCTGCGTTTAGAAATGAACGAAACCGAAATCTTCTGATTTATTATTTTCACGTATGCTGATATATTAACAAAATGAAGAAAATAAGAATTATTTAATTTAAGCGGTGAATAATTATTGGAGGATAGATGGTGGTGTGAATTTGAGTAGACAGAATATATACTTCCTCAAGCTCAATCAAACCCACAATCCACCCTCAAGTTATGACTAAATGATAATGAACAAATATTGAGACTCGACGGAAATCGTCAGATAATCGAAAAGTATTTACAATCCAACTACAGAAATTAAAGACAAAACTTTGGGTGTGCGTGTGCGAGTTTATGTAGAGCGAATGTATCCATATTCACATACCCACACACACCCACAGTCACACATCCACAGCCATAGGCACACCAATATCCACATCCATTAGTATGGATCGATATCGGTGTTGAAAATTGATATTGGTGTTGAAGTATTAATCTTGACTGATGTTTTCTTTACTTTCATGCATATGCTCTATCATTATTAGGAGCTGGTAGATAGTTGAGTATGTGACGACGGAACCGCTAGAGATGTCTCGTACCTTTTGAGCTCATATCATGGGGGATATATTAGGATATTAAAAGAATATTTCAAGTTTGCAAGAGTTCGTGCTCATGCGTATTCTGGTTGGAGTTATGCTCAATTCACTATGTTTTTGGTCTATGATCACAATTTTTCAAAATATTCCAGTGACTAAATTTTAGATTGAGTTTCTACCTGCAACTAACTCCAGAAGCCATAAGAACACCTTGAAAGTCTCAGTTCAAACAAGCGTTCTATCTCGGAGATATTCATCAGCCAAAAAACATTCTCTTTCGAAAATCATCGATTTTGTAGCTGCTGAATACCTTCGAGACAGAAGTCTTGTTTCAGCTTAACATTTCAGAACATTCATATAGCTAGTAGAGCTAGTCGCATGCAAAATTTAAGACTAAAATTAGCTCCTTCGAATTCTTTCAAAAGCCATAATCATAGATCAAGAGCGTAGAAAAACGGGCATTACTACTCCCAGACGACACGCGGACGGGAGTTGTTTTAGAGTTGAAGTATTCTTTTCGTATTCTGTATAACCGTCAGGATGCGAACTCAAAAGCGATGGAGCACCTCGAGAGGTTCACTCGTGAATGAAGGAAATGACAAATGGAAATCTTTCACAAAGAATACTATCATTTTTACTCACATGGAAACTACTCCAGCTGATTCCTCGTTTTTGAGTTCATATTTTGCTCAGCAGTTGGCAACTACTAGGTTAGAATAACCTTCAAAGTGTTCGTACCCATATTGAGATTCGATCAAAGTAATTAATTTCGTCTGCAGAATCTTAGTTTTCCAACAGGGTGTGGATGATGGTGAAACTAATATTCGCACATCGTTGCACCTACATCGACACACCATACCTACATCTGTCCATATCACACTAGTATACCCTAATGAGTGAATTTACAAGTGAATCCAGACTCTTGACTATAGACTTAATTTTGTATTCTTTACTGAACTTTCGACAATTGCCAATAGTCTAGTATTGTTAACGGGAATGTTCCGTCAAAACACAACTTGCGGCAATTATCGAAAGTCAACTGCGAAAGTCAGTATCGCACAATTCATTTTTCCCACAAAAAAGGTTCCGTAAGTGGAAATGAAATGGTTGATATGTTTTCTGGTTTTTCTTCATCTAAGAAAAACAGAACATGAACAAACCAATTCTAACTTTTAGGAAGATAGCCATTTGCATCATGGACAATTCAATCAAAGTCAATTCAACAATAATATTTTTTCTCTTGTTAACATAAATCAAGTAAAAACAAATAATCATTATAAAAACATGGATTTCTGCGCATTTAACAACTCTCCTTCTATAATAGAAGATCTCGAGTACTCTGTAGTGTCTTGCGGGAACAACTTTTCTCGGTTTCCATTTCCTATTCTCATTCTTGTAAAAAATATTTTTTGTTCCTGTCCTCGCTCGTGTAAAAAAGTTTTTGTTCTCGTTTCCGTTCCAGTTCCCGTGTTCCCGTAAGGCTTTCATCGAATCAAACTGTTGAATCTGTCTTAGCTGCATATTTCTTTCAGGTTTCCATGATTTACTAAACGGCTACTGATTCAAAAAGTGATAAATCGTTCGACCCCAATTGAACCCTTTCATGATTTAGAAATTTAACGATCATACGCTTCTTTCAGGATTTAGGGGTTTCATGAAAAGTTCCTGGTTCGAAACTAGAGATGAAACATTCAAAATCCTAATTGAATACTGGTTTAGATCCTACCAGAATCATGAAATTTTGTGGCTATACACTTTTTTCAGGATAGTCGTTTCCTCAAGAAAAAACAGTAAAACCTGTAACGATCCGTATTGGATCCATTAAGGATCAGAAAAGGAAATATTAAGGATTTCCACTTGGGACACAACTGAGATTTGCTATTTAAAAAAAAATTCGTTTTGATGAATTTTATCTATATTCATTTAGCGAATT